ATACGCATTTTTAATCCTTACCACAGTCATTTTTATGTCGTCAGGCTCTTTGTATACTAACGCTCCAAATTTATTAAAATTTACATTGTATCCTTGCTCTGTTATTTTTGCAACTGAAAGAAGATTTGAGTTTAAATCTGGTACACATAAAACATTTTTTAGTCGTATATTACTTTTACTGGCGGATTGTTTCACAATGACATCGCTAATGCCTTTAGATATTAATATTTTGCCATTTTTGTCCGCGAGACTCATCTGTCTTTTTTCTTTAATCATATCATTAAACATAAATTCATTCTGAGTCATATGACTAGTAGATCCAGTATCTAATAGCCATAAGTGATATCTCTCATTCTCACACTCACCCTTTTCTCTCTCTTGATTCTCACTCGTATCATGCAGTCCCATTTTTGTTGAAATTTCGTTTCGTTTTCATTACTGCTTCATCACTGGTTCTCATTGAGATTTCATTTCTTCTTAAGTTTTGTCTCGTATTTTTTCCTTGACTTTCCCATTGAAAATTTCCTGTTCGTCCTCGTTTCGTTGATGGTATATTTTGTTTTGATTTCCGACAATTTGCAGCAATGTGGTTTCTACTGCATTCCATAGCCACGTGTTCTCTCATTGCGCAAATGTCATTTTTAGATCTTTCCTTTACTTTTCGTAATAATTTGTGGTCTTTAAATGATCTTCCTTCTACTTTTCTCATTTTTCTTCTTTGTTCTTCCTGTTTTAGGGCAAATATTGTTTATCGATACGTTCTTTTGAATTTCCAAGACTCGAACATTTGAATCGTATTTGTATCGGTCGAAGTCCTCTCAAAATATACATTTTAAGTTCAAATTGTTCGGTATTTTTTTCATAGCTGTATACATTAATTTGCTAACGCTTCTGCTCTGTTTATGTCGACAATTTCATTTTTCTCCATTTTTAAATTCGTTAGTTCGTTAAGCGACCTCGTCTTTTGTTCTTCCCTATATGTAACCATATGTAAGAAATGAAATCTAATATATGAGCAGGCAAATATTATTATCTACAGATAAATTTTACTATATGAAGAAATCTAATGTATGTACAGATATGTGCCCGTAAATCTAATATATGTACAGACATTTTAGTATGTTACAATATTTATGTATATTATTTATGTATACTATTTATATCAAGAATTTCTATTTAGTCAAACTATTTAATCAAACTATCAAGTATTTAGTCAAATAGTAGTAGAAATTCTTAATACAAATAGTACAATAGAAAGAAAAGTGAATATTAATTTCAGAAGAAGTACTAATTGTACTAATTGTATAAAATTTCATTAAATATTACAGAGAATACAATAAACTTACCAAACATACAGCATGAAATTTCTTGTGGCACGTATCATAAGATAATTTTAGTATTTAATACGTATTCTTGTGAAAAATACCATACCATATACATTCTTCCACACCAGCGAATTTTTTATCCAAACTTCTTCTCCATAATACAAGTACATCATATATTGATTTATTCTATAAAACGAGAATAAAATATTTCCTTAATTATTTAATTCAAATATAATCTAATTGTTTAAATTATCGGAAATTTATTAAATTATCTGATATTTGCTCCACCTGTTCATATTCAACAGTAGCTGGTTTTTAATGGATGATTAGGTGACAATGTAATATTAAATTCCAATTTTGTATCATCTATTTGTTACGACCTGATCTTTATATCTGAACAGTCGTTGTACGAAATATAGGATTTTTGAAAATTATATTTCCATCAACCATTTTCATAGCCTTTTCTAAATGATTCAATAATATAACAATTTCCAAAGCTGTTGTTTTTTTACTGCATAAATCTGTGACATAAAATTTGGTTAAAAATTGCAGGTAAAGCATCAATGATTTAAATTATATATTTAAATCATAAATTATAAATGTACCTGCATAAAGCATCCAACATGCATTAGTTCCACTTTGAATATCACCGATACATAAAACTATTTTTCCATTCATTTAATATTTTTGGTGACATTATTGCTATTTTTTCCTGGTCATGTTCGTCAGTTAAGTCTTGGACTGCATGATATAATTGATATATGGCTACCATCAGTGTAATTACCTATAAAAATAAAAACAATTTATAACAAATTAACAAATTTTTTCAAATAATGTAAATAATTAATACCTTTTGACTTCTTAATAGAATTTGGCCATAGGATTAAAGACGTTAGAATAAAATTCCAGTGTTCATACATACATACATACATATACCAGCCAAAAGTTTGGAATCACTTGCAGATTTCTATCAAAATCGAATATTCTTGTACATTCTGCACTGATGCACTACTAATATATACTAGGTATTAACAACAATGTACAAATTTTAAGATATTTAATTGTATTGTTGCATTGAAAATATTCTTGTATAGATTATAATCCCAATTTAAAGTAACGTTAAACGTGAATCTTCCTACCACATAAAATGACTATCTATTTTCGCGTATTGTATAGAACTACCTTATTCTGAGAGTTTAGTATTGTTGAGAGTTTAGTATTATAATATTAAACACCGATTAGTTGACTCTGACACTGAGAAAATTGATAAAAGTCACATTTGCCATACATTGTTATCATTCTCGTTCACGAAGGCATTTAACCGAGATCAGCAGTTAAAATTGTGCTTCAATATGGCAAAAACGATACGGATTAGTATTGAAACTAGAAATGCTATTATCACATTTAGAAAAGGTCATTCTTTGCGGAATATTGCAAGCAAATTGAAGATATCATACAAGGAAGTTCAGAGTACGGTAAAACGTTTTGTTTACAATCAGAACGACCCAGGATAACGTCGAAGGCTGAAGACATTAGAATACAGATTATATGCAAACTTAACAGACGGCTAATGGCCTCACAAATTCGTGCAGATCTTAATCATGGTAGATTGATTCCAGTCTCTCTGACCACAGTGAAAAGACGACTAAGAACTGGTGGTTTAAACGGCTACATAGAAAACCATTGCTTTCATCAAAAAATCGCAAAATGCGGTTGGTTTGGGCAAAAAGTCACAAAAATTGGACATTTCAGGACATTTGAGAGTCCTTTGGACTGACGAATTCAAGTTTGAACTATTTGGATCGCACCGAAGAACATTTGTTCATCAATCTGAAGGATAAAAAATATTGGCAGAATTTATTGCACCGACTGTCAACCATGGTGGAGGTTCAGTTATGATGTGGGGATGTTTTTCGACCGTTGGAGTAGGAGAACTGATAAAAGTAGAGTGTTTGAAAAGTAGAAGCAATGGAAGAGCCAACTTTCGCTCTCACGCATTCATTTTTATTTCTAAAGCAGCGGATGTCCTAAGCAAAATTCTCAGAACCCCAGTCGCTTGGCCTGGAAAAAAACACAAATTCTTTCGTGAAAACGACTTATTCTAGACTTTTCTCAAGGCTAAAAATAATAGAAAGCAATCCTTGAAAAGAACCAATTCTAGGTATTCCTCGACACTGGGAGCGTCATGTGTTCGAGTCTTATGCGAGCCTACATTCCTGGTGTCTGGACTTTGTCGTCCGAGACGAATCGCTCGCACCGAGGTAAAACACGTCTCCGGCAGGCCTGTGCATGAACGCATCGTGGCGCCAGACTGTCGCCTTGAGTCCCAAGTTTGAGAGAAGGGGCACAAGCCCGAGTATTGTCCAGTTCGTTTTGAACAACCCTCGAGATCACTTTGGCAACGTAGTGTCAGTTTTTATCTGTGCAGTGCAAGTTCTCCTGTGTGTGACCACAGGTCCAACAACGAGCACACTTCAACAAATAACGCTTTCTCTCTGAGTTTTAGGCGAGAACTTGACTCAGCAACGGATAAGAAACTCTCTGGGGAGAATTCCCTTTTTTCTACGCACGAAGTACTGCGGCATCCTTCTCCAGCAATCGAGACAATCAACGTGCCCAGCACGAGTAAGGACTACTAACAGTGAAGCCTGACGACAAGCGCGCCTTGCAGCCCTCACGGGACTTCCTCAACGAAGTCATTCTATGCGTGCCTAGCACCACTCACGGGACTTCCTCAGTGAAGTCATTCTATGCGTGCTTAGCACCACTAACGGAACTTCTCCAGTGAAGTCATTCTATGCGTGCCTAGTACCACTCACGGGGCTTCCTCAGTGAAGTCATTTTCTGCGTGCCTAGTACTACTCACGGGAGTTCTTCTTTGAAGTCAGAGACCACGCTAGCTCTCCCAATCGGGAGTCTAAAGGCTACTCCGTGCGATCACATTTCTTTCAGCGATTTTTACAGTAACCTGTGTGACCTGCGTAAGCTGCTGTCTTCCCAGCGACGGCGTCAATGCTCTGCGTAAGCTGCTGTCTTCCCAGCGACGGCATCAGGTACCTGAGTGAGCTGCTGTCTTCATCAACGGTACCTGCGTGAGCTGCGTAAGCTGCCTTTGCAGCTAACAACATTCACCAAGCGGCAAGCGTTCCAGCCTTCACAGCTAAGTGGCGCTCAGATTCTACACGACGCTTCAACAGCGAGCGACCTGATTGTGCAGAACGTGGTCAGGAAATATACTCATTTGTTAAAAGCTATTCGTCTGTGTCGATCCCTCCGTTTCCCTTAACCTTTTCGACATTTTAAACATAGAGAATAGAATGAGAAAGGAGGACTGTATGTAGATACTTGAACAATATGCCATACCATCAGGTTACCATTTAATAAGTCGAGAGTTACATTTACAATTGCAAATCTAGTAAATAGTCTATCATTTGCGATTATCTAACACGAATTCGAAATGGTTTCGAATGAGTAATAAAAAAATGTGGTGAAAAAGTGAAATCATTGAATTAATTTCTTTTAATTTAAGTTATTATATAATATTAAATAATTATTAATTTAAATTATTATATAATAATTTAAATATTATATATAAGTATAAATATTATATAAATATTATATATATATATATAAACTTTATTTTCGGCCTTTGCGGCTAAGAAAAGGAGCTTAGTCTTATACAAACCTTACTATTAGATTCACCTCCACTTCACAACTTATCATACAGATCATATTAACTAATCCAGGATTAAACTGCAAAATACAGAATATTAATTATAGTCTGTTTAACACGTTGAATGCCACGGCGGTCATCGGTGACCGGCGCGCCCAGATTGATAGAAATATATATAATTTAAACAAATGTCAATATTTAGAAATTTTTATTATTACCACCGGTTAATGCAATGGTGTGAAGAAATAGTAAAAATAGTTTTATTTATACATGAAATATAGATTTATTATGCGCGCACAATACGATGTATCGTATTGAAGCATTCCAAACAAAGAAAGGGTGAACCAGCACAGTATTTTTCACAATATGTCACAACTTTTTTACTACAGTTTTTTGCAATTATTCTTCCTAGCTTCATTGAATTATTTTGATAACACATTTTGCAAAATCGTCGCACCGTTCGAGCTTTTCCCGGCATTGCTTCTAATTCATGGCGGTTTTCTCAGCGAGCTTTCACATAAAGAAATGCAAACCTCAACTTCATGATCACGACATTTTGTTAAATACATTGCGACTTTCATTCTGAAATCGGGAATTTCAATATTTTTGCGTGTTACCTGTTTGAATAATACCATTGCATTTACCATACATGTATTCAATAACAGTTCTATTGCTAATTTTTTATACCACTTTAAAGTTTTACGTAGTAGTGAACTATACGCTATCATTTGATCCGATAAATCGACTGATGATTTTCCTAGATTGTATTCCAAAACCATTTTTGGTTTTTCACACGAATAGAATTTCTTATGTACAGTAGTCATTTCTGCCGAATGTTTCGTTGAAAGCATCAATACGTCTCTCTTATCTATCCATTTTAATATCGTTATACTTGATTTATTTTCGCGAGCAATGAGTTCTCCACGTTTTAGTTTTTTGGATACTACTTCTACTGAATTTCCTCGTCGATTTTTTCTTAGGGTACCCACTAAATGTGTGTTCCTTGTGATTAATTTTTCCGCCAGATCAACACTCGTATACCAATTGTCTGTCCAGACAGTATGGCTTTTACCCAATATATCTTTGCAGAGAGACATTACGATCTCGGACGATAAGTTTCCTGCTGTTTTATCTCTATTTTTTTCTTTTCCCGTGTATATTTTGAAAGAATAAGTGTATCCTGCACCACCGCATAATTTAAAAACTTTAATTCCATATCGATGCCGTTTTTGTTTCAAATATTGTCGAAATATTATGTGGCCTCGGAAGGGCACCAATGATTCATCTACGCGTAATATTTCATCTGGATTGTAGTATTGAAATTAGTTTGAAACTTCTGTTTAATATGTCGATAATGTGAATAATCTTGGATAATCTATTATTAGGATCGTTTCTTCATTGTTACTAAAATGAATAAACCGTAAAAGTAATTCAAATCGATTTCTCGACATCACTGTACTTGGGAATGGTGATATTCTTCATTTCTACTCCAATACAGATGAATTTTGGGTAATCGCACTAATCCATATAATGAAGCCAAAAAATCTTTTTATTTCATTAGGATTTGTTTCAACTCATTTATCGAGACGACGCGATCGCTGTTCTGATACTATTTTCGCAGCATATATATTTGTTTGGTTCGCAATAATTTGAAATATTTCATTCGAAACAAAAAGACAATAAAAACTATGCGGTTCAGTATAATCAAAAATTTTAGAATGATGTGTATTGATTCCCAATGAATTAGAAAATGTACTCTTTGCTTGATTACACGAAGGAATATGCCAATTTGTATCACGCACTTCTTCTTGTGTATTATTTTCATTATTGCCGTCATCTTCAACTTCACTTTTACTATCTGATTCAATTCGACGGCGACGTACTGAAGATGATATTATCATATCAGACAAACTGCTCGAGGAACTTTCCTCACTATCTGACAACATTCGACATCGTTTGGAAGGATTTGGTAAAAATGTATCGTCAGTTGAATTACTTGACGCAGAATCTTCATTTGAAATCATAATTTTATGGGCTAATTAAAAAATCAAATAGAAGATACGAAATGCAAAAATTTTTGTAGTGTATAAAAGTATAATAGAGGTTCTTACCTGATTGTTTAACACTCTCGAAAAGAATACAATCGTGGAACTATTACTCAACAACGTGAAGAAACAATATGAAATAATTGACGATTGCAAATATGCAGTTATCGAGACTCACTTATTTTTAGAAGTCGCTCGAAATATTGCAGATAATATTTCAACATTATACGTATCGCATAATAGAAAATTCATCGTGGCGCCACGGGCAATCCCTGTAAAACTGGCGTGACATTCAACGTGTTAAGAACTATTTATTATACACTCTCGCTAAGCAACAGAAATGTAAATATTATATAATATTTAATTATATCAAAATTATTGAACTCGTCTTTTTATTTTGAATTTTCTTTTTTTTTTTAAATATTATGGGCAACTATGAGGGCACATATTTTTTACACCTCCATGGCGATGTCACTGTTCACACTCGTGTTTCGAACTAAACTACACCACAGTGAGTAGGATCAGAGGCAATGAACTCTCAGATAGACATGGTTTTGAGAGTTCTATCGGATAGTAAGCTCTCGGGGAGAGCTATATTTCAATTTTTCTCGGAGAGTGGAAATTCTCAAAGCTGCTCTCAAAAGGACACAACGCTAGAGAGTAACTCTCGCGAGAAACTCTCAAATGGACAAGTACCTTTATTCTTCGAACAGGGAATAATTGAAGTGGCACTCAAGCGATTTAAGTGGTATTTCGATGAATCATGCAACTCCTGTTCGATCGCGGCTTTACAGAAATGTCTCGAATCAAATACTGATGGATTCCTTCAATCCCTCAATACGATACAGGAACTGTTATTGAATTGTTATAGTCCAGGAAACAGATGCAGTAGCAGCGCATGAATCAGAACGCAAAGTATTCAAGGAAACGTATTTTGAATTAACTCCAACGGTCGAAGAATTCATAAAGAATTCCCAATCTACATCGACGCGATAATTAGCAAGTCCTTCGGAAGCATTATGCATGTCGTCACTAAATTTTGAACGGCGAATTTTTAGTGCACTGCGAGATGGTCGCAACATAGATAACACTGTGTTTCTATGAAATACAATTTACTGATAGACAAAGAACGGTTCAGGATTTTCTGTCGATGTGAAGAAATTTATTGCCTCATGTTTATCGCGGATAACGATTCGTTTGTTTTTTGACAAAAAGTTCTAACATCTACCACGCTTCATTGTGATTCTTTTGTCGAGGGCGTTTGTTATTATCAACCTCGGTTGCTGACCGACGGATCTCTTTGTTTTACATCCTCAAATATTTTTTCGACCGATATTTTGACTCATTTTGACGGATTAGGACCAATTAGCTACCACTGGCTAGCCAATTTTTATAAACAGGCTCACAGGCAGCAAGAGGTTAGGCTACGGTTATAGTGGAGCGGCGCAGATTGAGGATAGCGGCGAGGCGAGCGTCGCGACAAAATTGTAATGTAATGGAAGTGTTCATAGTGGAGCGACGAGGATCATAGCGGTGCAGCTAGAATCAAAAAAGTTTGTTTCTATCCAACAGAGACGCGTTCGGCAACATTTAGATGCATTCGGATGCATTCCATCGCATTCAATAGCATTCAATTGAAGATCGAAGTATTTATATATCTTTTATTTCTGTTTTTTCTTTATTATTTATTTTTATTATTCTTATTATTTATTTTTTTTCTATCTTCCGATGTTTTTTTTTGCGAGATATGACATCAATATGTGATATTTAATTGCAATATTCTCTACAAGCAGTTTTTTTGCTGCTTCCTCGAAGACATCTTGAGAAGAATGGCTCGCATTTCGCACAGAGTTGGGCATTATTCGAATAAAATTTCGAATAAAATTTTATTCGAAATATTTACTGAAACAATGTAAAGAAAAAGAGACAGGAGTCTCTTTTTTCACAATTTTAATAAACTAGTAGACTCTTTTTCTTTACATTATTTCAGAAAATATTCGAAGAAATAAAATTATTCGAAAATTATTATTATACGAATAAAATTTTATTCGAAGAATTTATTCGAAATGTTATTCAAATAAAAATAAAATTTTATTCGAATAATGCCCAACTGTCTGTACAAATAAAATCGTTATTCGTAAATAACGAATAATTTTTCCTCGTTATTCGTTATGTACGAATAAATTTGACAGATTTATTCGTTACTCGTTATTCGTTGTGATAAAATATGCCCAACTATGAATTTTGCTCCTCGCTTTTCTCCGCGTCACTATAAACATTCGGATGCATTCGGTAGCATTCTATCGCATTCAATGAAAGATCGAAGTATTTATATAACTATTATTTCTGTTTCATGTCCTGCATTTAGAATGGTTAATGTAACAAAAGTTAACATCGACCGCAGCGGTTGCTGCTACGCCTGTGGAGGCAGTGACCACCTAGCCAAGAACTGCACAGTCCCCCGTAAGTGCTCCCGATGCACAAAGGCTGGGAAACCATCCAACCACAGGATAGGCAGCAGTCAATACTGCCCCACCATCACAGATGCAAACGCTCGGACCAAAGAAATCCGCCGAAGAGCAGCCCAGGCAGGAGTACGGGACTCTAAAGAGCGAGTCCAAGACAGCCCGGCGAGCACCACACGAAGCCGTGCCCTTGCGACATCAGACCGTCACCAAACGACGAAGAGGAATGCGGCCAGGAAGAGGCTATGGAGACACGGCAATAATGACCCAAACGGGCCTCACCATCCTCCAAGCCAACGTGAACCACTCGGCCAGAGCACAAGATCTCCTGACCCAAGCTCTGACCGAGTGGAACGCAGGATTAGCGGTGGTTTCAGAACCGCACCGGGTCCCAGACAATACAAACTGGGCTGGGGACAGCACTGCATCCGTAGCAATCCTGCGAGGAACTACTACAAACACTCCCCCTCTAAGAGTCATTGAACGGAGTCGCGGTTTCGTATCCGTGTCTTGGGGCCGGATAATAGTTGTGGGGATTTACACCCCTCCAAGCTCGCCGATGCCCGTGCACGAGAAGTTCCTAGAAACTCTCGGAAGACACCTAGCCCACTTCCCCTCGCACCCCACCTTGGTTCTCGGCGATTTCAACGCCAAGAGCACACTGTGGAGCTCACCTAGGACAGACGCTAGGGGAAACGCGGTGACACAGTGGGCTGCCGGGCTTGACCTCCGGCTTCTTAACACCGGTCACACCAGCACATGCATCCGATGGCAGGGAGAATCCATCGTCGACCTGTCGTGGGCCTCTCCAGAGGCGATAAAACATATAACAGGTTGGAAGGTGATGGACAACACTGAGACACTCAGTGACCACCTCTATATTAAGATCCGCCTTTCGCAGCTTCACCACAGCGGATGCTCACAGCAACTCCTCGCAAACTCAGGCCCCAGCCGCGCGAAAGTTGTTTGGACAGTTTCCAAGGACAGCCAAGTGGGTCCTCAAAAAGCTTAACACAGACATGTTGCTGGCAGCAGCAATAGCTAAATCATGGCCTGAACCACCAGCATGGCTAAATGAGGACACTGGCAAAGAGGCGGAATGATTTCGTCAAGCAATGACGAAAATTTGCGACATGGCCATGCCCCGTTCCAGACCTCGCCAAAGGCAATCAGTCTACTGGTGGTCAAAGGACATAGAAGACGCAAGGAAATCCTGCAACACAGAGCGCCGCCAATTCCAGCGTTCACGACGGAAAAGGAACCGTAACCCCGTAAACGAAGAACACCTGTTCAGCAGATATAGAGAAGCCAAAGGAAATCTCCAACAGCTAATCAAATCTGCTAAGACAAGAGCCTGGGAAGAACTCATCGACACCCTGGATCAAGACCCGTGGGGACGTCCATACCGAATTGTGCTGGGGAAGTTGCGCCCCAGATCCACCCCGGTCACCGAGGCGCTAGACCCGGGCGCCCTTGACGTCCTTTTCCCCGCTTCCGAGGAGGAGCCCAGCCCAACCAGGCCAGCTCGTTACGACCTACCAGTACAGCAGGTTACAGAAGATGAGTTTGCGAAAGCAATTTCCAGAATGGTCCAAAGAAACACCGCTCCCGGCCCAGACGGAATCCCAGGACGAGCCTTTGCACTCGCACTTCAGGAGCTCAAAACAAGAGCCATGCAACTGTTCAAAGGTTTCCTCGAAACAGGGAAGTTCCCCCGGATATGGAAAATATCCAAACTCACGTTGGTTCCGAAACCGGGTAAGAGGCAAGCAGACTCCCCGTCTTCCTTTAGACCGATCTGTTTATTGGACGAAATGGGCAAAATAC